ATTGATAGTTGATCCAAGAAGAATGAAGTCCTTGACAACTTCAATCTTTTCTCTGTTGATAAGAATGTTGTTTATTGGTCCAGTGGTGGGGATTTTTGTTTTCTTTACATTGAGGTGAAATCCATACCGAAGATGGTCGTCTTTGATCTTCATCAGTAAATACTTTAAGTCATCTTGACTTTCAGCAAGCAAGGTTGTATCATCTGCATATCGCAGGTTGTTAATGAGTCTTCCTCTAATCCTGATGCCACGTTTATCTTCTCATAACCCATCTTCTCGGATTATTTGCTGAGCATACCCTTTATAGGGGTCCGAGGTCTTTACATCCGAAAGCCTCATCTTTCTCATGTAGAGTAACTGGCAGGCGGCTGGCAAGTTCAAACCTCAACTGTGGTTTGCAGTCTCGTGCTTTTCATATGGAGCCACTGCACTCCCTAAAGGACTGATGGTGGCAGGTAGTAGTTAAATACCATGGAGTCGGCTCAGACTCATAGTGAACCTGTATAGGGTTTCCAAGGCTGTAAATCTTTACTGGAGCAGAAAGTCTCATCTTTCTCTCAAGGAATGGCTGATAGTTTCAAATTGCTGACATTGAGGTTAACAGCCCAACTCGTAACCACTATGCGACCAGAGCTAATTGTTAAGTGCCTTCGAGTTAGTTTCGACTAATAGCAATACTAAGGTTTCCAAGGAGCAGCTGGTGAGCTTGAACTACCGACCTTGCAGTTCAAACTGACATTGCTGTCCAGCGCACTAACCCAGTGCCACACCAGGATTCCAGAATTAACTGTTGTTGTTAAGGGGCATTGAGTCGGTTCCGACCCATAGCGAACCAGTATAGTTTCTAAGGAGCAGCTGGTGAGCTTGAAATGACTTTGCAAGTTCAGTTCATTTAACCCACAGCGCCACATTGTTGTTGTTGTTGTCAGGTGCCATCGAGTTGGAACCGACTCATAGCGACCCATGCATAGCAGAATGAAACAATGTCTGATCCTGGGCCAACCTCACTACCGCTGCCACACTT